CATTGGAGTCAGCCTGAAACAGGAAGCTGCTGTGATGAAGGCTTTATTACATGGAGGTATTGTGACCCAGTACATCTTCATCTGACTGGTTCTGTTCTGGTTTGTTGGAAACGATATAAGTTGCTATGGTTCTACCAGAACCCAGTCTCTGGTCACATCTCACCACCTGTTGAGGCTCCAACATCAGCAGAACCTGATGTGGTGAAGTTGGACCAGACAAGGTTCTGGTTCTACATGTTTAGACTAAATGTTGATGTCTAGATCATTGTTAGGAACCAGAACCTGGAGTTCACAGGTTCTAGGTGTCGGTTCTAGATGTCGGTTCTGGATGCTGGTTCTGGATGAGCAGAACTACAAGCTGCTTCATGTCTTCATGATAATTTAACAACAGATGAGTCTCACTTCCTGAATGTTTCTACACTCACGGGGCGGCTGTGGTTCTGGTGGTAGAGCGGGTCGGTCAATGATCAGGAGGTCGGCGGTTCTGTTCTGCCCTGTAACCTGTGTCATGGTCGTTGTGTTCTTCACGTTGACACTCCACCACCCGCCTGGTGTGGATGCGTATGGATGGATTGTTGAGGTGGTGGTCGGAGGGCAGGATGGCAGCCAGGCCTCTGTCAGTCTGCCCCCCCCGGGGCAACTGGGGCTACAGCCGGAGATACCACCACCGGGGTCAGTGACTGACAGTGTTCAGGGTCTCTGAGCGTCTAGAACAGTGCTGTATGAATCTCATCAATCATTAATTAGTTATTATGACACAGATACAGACATGAACACTGAACAGAGGAACTGGTGATGGTTCTTTAGATCCAGTCCAGAAGCTCTGACCCGGTGAGGACGGACTGAGGTGGATCTGGACTGAGACGATGCAGAGACATGCTTCCTGCCGTCTGTCTGTCCTCAGACTGACCTGGGATCAGCAGGTTTAGGTACAACTCCACACGCGGGTAGATGCTGCGCCGGTGTCCCGCAGCACTGTCACGTGTGTTTCCTGTGTTGTTACCGTGTGTTGCCATGGTTACAGGTGTAACTCATGCTCCTGTGTCCGTCAGGTCCGCTGAGGCCGGAGATCACCGTGGCGTACGTGGCCGTTTCTCTGATCTTCTTCAACAGTGGCCTGTCGCTGAGGACGGAGGTGAGCAACGCTGCCTTCAGGCGCTGCCTTCAGGCGCTGCAGGAAACCAGACTGACTGTGTGTGTCTGCAGGAGCTGACCAGCGCGCTGCTGCACGTCCGCCTCCACCTGTTCGTCCAGTGCTTCACCCTCGTCTTCTTCCCACTGAGCGTCTGGATGCTGATCCGGGTCCTCGAACTCACCGCCATCGACCAATGGCTGCTCAGAGGGTAGGAGGAGCTGTGTGTGTGTGTGTGTGTGTGTGTGTTAGTGTGTGTGTTACTTTGTGTGTGTTAGTGTGTGTGTGTTAGTGTGTGTTAGTGTGTGTGTTACTTTGTGTGTGTTAGTGTGTGTGTTACTTTGTGTGTGTTAGTGTGTGTGTGTTAGTGTGTGTTACTGTGTGTGTGTTAGTGTGTGT